AATTCCTCAAATACCTTGGCTGTCAGCTGACCTCTCCTTGGTGGAAGCATAGCTTTCTCTCTCCTCACTGGCTTGCTGACTTTACTGTCCATTAATGCTTTGGATTGTGAAAGGAAAATCAAGGGTACAGTAAGGGATGAAAAAAGAACAGATAAAATCAGTAAAGAAGAAGAGAAGCAAAGCTGGTGAGGGTGGGAGAGACAAAGTGGGGCCTTTTTATATAAATGGGTGTGCGCATACAGCCGTGCAAGCCAGCTTAGTCACCAAGTTTCACAAGTGTGAACACAATAAGATACTCTTTCTGAATACAATTTGGCTTGTTCTTTGAACTTTTTCTTCGGCGAAATTGTGGTTAGTCTTAATTGGATGTGTATGGTTTTGGATATCATTTCATTACACGTGGGTTTTCAAACCTTTTCTTTTTGTTTTTCCCCTCTTCTGTCTTCTGTGTAAGGTGAAGGGTCCATAATCATATGGTTCGACATGGTAAGGGTTGGGGTTGGGGTGGGGGTGAAGAACTTCAGAAAATTTCTGCCACTTACCAGGTGAGTTGAGTCATGTATGAGTACTGTGAAAGATGAAAGAAGCAAAATTTTGCAAGAAATCATGCGCCCTTTGATAACTTTTTTCAAAGGAGTTATGATGTAAAACAAGTTGCAGGAGAGTATTTAGTATATGGTTTCTTCCGATTAAAATGAAAGGGTAAAAAATAATAATAGAGGTGTTAGACTCAAAATTCAGTAAATTAGTGGTGCTTCATTCGGATCAAGTCAACAATCAAAACTCATTGTTTTATTACGAGCTCCTTTAGTTTTAAGTCAAATTTTATTGTCTAGACATATAAACTCCCATTTTTGCCATTTTAGAAAAAATTTCAAAAATTAATAATAAATTATAAGAAATTATGAATTCAGGGTCATCAATTTTTTTAGACTTCAGGCAACACATGCTTTTATGTTAATTTAGAAAATCGCATATTTTCATTTTTGGTATTTTTCATAATTTTAGAGATTTTGCTTTCCACTATAGGAACGATTAGGATTTTAGTCGTTTCTATTTATAATGCTCATTTGTACTACGAGTGAATTATTGTAATATTATATTTCATAATTTTTCTCTACTTTTTTTGTAGATTTAGAGTATTTCTTTTAGTTCAATATATAAAGAATTGTAATGTCTTTTGTGTTCCTTTGTTCAACTACGTCAATTTGTTTAAGCAAAAAAGTAATTTGTTAAGAAAACAAGAGACTTTCTAATTATTGATTTATAGTATATAGTGACATACATCTTAGTATATGAATAATACACTTATCTATGTGCACATGTATACTATTCTATCCAATATTAAGCTTGGAATAAGGAGGAAACTCCAACACGAAAAGGCAAAACACAAAACAATGTTACTTGAGAAAATACTACTTAACTCCAACAAGAAAAGGCAAAACACAACAATGTTACTTGAGAAAATACTACTTGAATAAATGATGTTAAGGGTAGCAAAAAAGGATAGTTAGACATCCTTTAATTCAACATGGCCACTTACTATGGATTGGTCAAGAAATGCAATGAGTTAATTAATATCTGTTGATTAAACAACTATTTAGTCTAATATATGAAAATTCATGAATATTCAATAGATTGACACTTGACATTCTCAGGCTTGCCAAGAAGGTGCCATGTGGCAAAAACCTAAGCAAGACGAGAAGATGACTAATTACAACCATATTCAAACCAAGGTAGGTTACATGTTGGGGGTTACTACCGAGTAACTATTGATGGAAGAACAGCCGTCGAAAAAAATGTCTCTACAAAGGGAAATGTAAGGAAAAAGATTTTCAAACCCCCTACGACCCGCAAATTTGGGCTTCATTAGGAGTAGTGTTGGCGTAAATTATACACTTTTAAATTGTAGTTAAAGTTGTTCATTCAATCTTTTTTATAATCGAAGTCCCTTTTTTGAATTAAGAAATGAATTCTCTTCCATTAGTTCTTTGTTTTTTACTTCATCTCTATTTAGAATTACTCTATTCTTTTTATCCATGAAGTCCTGAAACAAGACCGTAAACCCCTTCCAAACAATTGTCTGATCATTGTCTATCGATTGGGAGATCTCTGTCAATCCAAGCAAATTTGAACCAACATGAACTAAAAGCTTATTTTATGACTTACAATTGTATATATTTGTTTGATAATATCTGTGGGACATCCAGAATGGCATATCACTATATTTAATGCAACTAAAATGTGAAAAATCATATTCACAGTTTTTGAAACTTTATGATAACATCAAACCCTTTAGGGGAATGCCAGCTTCTACTTTGGAAGCTGTGATAAAGTCTAAATTGTTACAATCTGCAGGCTAAGCAAATTTAAATAAATAAAGGAACATGTACATGGTACACAAATGGGAACTGCAGAAAGTCCAACCAAAGACTGGAAAAACTCTGAAACATAAGACAAAGAGAGAGATTAAGAACCTAAACTCTTCAGAAGAGTAACATATAGTCTCACATCCCTCCAATTATGATTGCTGGTTTCACATTACCTCAATTTTAGACAATGCAAACATGTATTTTACCATAAAAGTGGAAATTTTCTATCAAAGTAATGACAAACCTTTAAATTTTGTGACAACGTAAAGATAATTCAAGAAATTGCTGGAACAGTGAGAAATCCATAATTTAAGGGCCAAAGTGAGACTAGATCATAGTTGAGAGTGCCAAAGTGAAATTTAGCCTAATTTTTATTATAGTATTAATATTTTCTAGGAAGTATAGGGAAGATGTCATTTTGGTGGCATTGAGATCCACTGGTGAGTAAAAGAGGATTGGCCTAATGATCGGTGTCTTTCCCACCTTATCTACGGGTGCGCAACTATCCAAAAATATGACAACGTCTTCGATTCCAACCCTAACTCCGGTCTTTAACCATCAAAGATTTAAATTTTATCAACTCCCTCCCCTATATTTATTGTGACAAAAAAAAAAAAAAAATCCTAGAGAGAGAGAGGAAAGGAGGATGTATTCCATCTACCTACCTAGGACAAGCTAGCACTAGAAAAACCCAGGCTAACATCTATGACTTGATCAACGCTTGAGTTATGCAGAAAATAAAAATAATACCATGGACTAATTATGTTAGTTATGTCACCCATGAAACCTTATATTATAAAACTTACATCTGTATTTAAAAATTTTCGGCATATGAACGCCATTGTCGAATGATTTAGTCAACAGTTTTGAGGCAGAATTCCAGATGAGTTTAGTCAAAATCAGTTTCTGCCCTCCATACAAAATCATATAATTGGTAATTTTCTGTACAGTGGAATTTTTTTCATCTTATATCTTTGGATTAATGCCGATGGAGGAGAATGTGAAATGTCTATCAACACACTTTTTAAACCATACTTGGGTGAGCAAAACCCTATGCAGAAAATGTGTCTAGGCTTGCGTAGACTATTCCCTTGAATTTAGCGATGGCTACCGTAGCATGAGTTAGAATAGAGCTCTTCCTCATTCAGTCAGATTATTCAGTAAGATATGGTTCTTTTTTCTTTTTGTTTGAATCTTCATATAGAAAGCCGGCTTCCTCATACTCCTCCCTTCATTCATGGAGTTGGAGGAATCCATAGGAGGCCTGCCCCTTATGCATTGCATGAAAGAACCTTTCTTTGTATGACTTCTCTTTTGCCTCAGGTCGAATGAATACGAAAGGGAGATCAATCAAACAAAAAAAGAGGCCATGAATGAAGAAGTAGTGGGCCTTTCACCCTCTTTCTAGTGACTTGGGGAGCTGATCTGAGAAATGCACTTCAAAGGGAGGGAAGCTAGCTTTCCCTTGCTGACACGCGACTTGAGAAAACAAGCATTTAATTACACAATTCCCTTGATGAGACTGCATTCAATGCGGTAAGGCTTGGAAGTGAAAGGCAATAAATGTTTCTAAGGCTGGGCATTTATTGCATCCTCCCCGAGAGGAGCTCATTGAACCGTCGGCAGGCCGATGACACAGTCTTGATTGCTCGGGGTCCCGAGCAGTTAAAAGAGAAGACATTCCTCATAGGAATCAATGCGCACGTTTCCTGTATCTAATGATCACCTACTGACCACACTGACAACAATCATGAGTATTTGAGGTATAAATACTCCTCACTAAAGGCAAGGAAAAGAGGGAAAAAATTTTGCTACAAATTGTACTCAATGTTTTCTTCTTCCTCTCTCTCAAAAACTGACTTGATCGTCGGAGGGGATACGCCGAAAAACACTCCGGCGCCCTTCTAACTTGTTCTTCTTTATTCCAGGAACCTTTCTTCAATCTTACTGGATCGTTCCTTTGATCCGCGAGGATCTCCCATTGTCGTTCCAGGTTACCACCGGATCTCACAGGCTGTTCCGGGCAGCGTGATTGACCACTCAACTGACTCACTCGAGTTCACCAAGGGAGAAATCTGTTCTCGTTTTTATATTGTGTAAGATCTAGCACGCACAAATAACACAAGCTTCACTAATTTTATCAACTCTATTTGACTACAAGCATACAACCTCTCTTAATCATGTAGCAGCTATGAACAAAACATAGTTTCATCTTTCCCCCAAATCACCTTCAAATTTGAAGAAAAGAACAAATATAATCTTATGAAACTAAAAGCATATGTATCTTACACGAAAAACAGCCGATTGCCAAGTGACCAATCCTGGAAAAAACATAATCACCATATGCTAAATGAATTTTAAACCTTCCTATAATAAGGTGAAATTGATCAAGCCTATTCCATTTTCTGTCGTATCCTCACAATGATTCTATGTAGCTCTTTACCCATATATTAATCAACCAAGAATCTGTTGATTTCCCCTCTGGATTAATATAAGGGGATGTGAAACAGAGACAACGAAAACTGAGAAACCTTTAAATGAAATCATATAAAGAAAATTACAGTATGAATTGTTATGTGGATCGAAAATCAGGGTGTTCATCTGAAGTGTAGGAGCTTGAAAGGGTTGTCATTTGCGGCCAACTTCTCTCTTTCTTCCCATTCTTAAGGCATTCATCAATATTTTCACCGTGTCGCGGAATATCTTAGCTTTGATCTGACCTCTCTTTGGAGGAAGTCTTGCTTTCCCTTTCTTTAGCTTCTTGGTATCTTCATTTTCCATTTTTTCCAAGCAAAGTTTGGAGGAACGATCTGAGAAAGAAAACACAGTAGAAGACTTCTTTACTGTACCAAAGTTGAAGCAGAGCTTTGAAATATCACCAAAACAAGTCATGAAGGGCAAGTGGAGGAAGAAACCTGTGGGGGAACACATATATAATGCTCCGAGAATAAGCCTGATTAGTCAGAAGGATTCACACAATGTGAACACTTCAATTTCCAAGTAAACTAATCCATATTTTTTATGTGGGTTGGCCTTTAAGTTAATAAAAAAAAATCTCTGCTATAGCTGTCCTCCTCTTATTTAATGTAAGTTGTTTTTCTGAATTATGACCTTAAACGTCGATAAGTTCAAGGAATTTGTTTGGACTTTGCATGAGTCCCATCTTTCCTGAATTCCTAGAGATAATGGCAACAAAAGTTTAGTCAAAAGCCAACCAGAATTCACTTACTTTGGTTGTATTGAGGGTACTCAATGAATGAAATTAAAATACAACATTTTAATTTCATAAAAAAAATAAAATAATTTTATCCGATTATCAATGGTCATGGATACAAAATTTTATGACTGAAAGGAGGAGAAAAAAGGGCTGATGATATAGAAAAAGAGTAGATTAAGGCATAGAAAAAGGATATTTGGAAGTTTCTAAGCCATTGTATGTAATATTAATAATGTCATTTCTCTAAAAGATATGGTAAATTCATGTTTTAGTGAAATAAACAGCCAAAATTAGTTAACTCTCACCATCTTCCTTGTGAGTTCTTGATTCATTTCCCAGCAAAAGCTTGCCTGGCCTCTCTACTTTTTAATCCCCACAAGGTTTGAAAGGGTTGGAAAAACTGATCTGACAATTTCAAGCCTTTTGACAAATATAAGTTGACAGGAAAGAAAGGCTAACATGTACTTTAATCGGCATTTAAAATGAGGGACAAGCAAGAATAAATTGAGTGAAGGGACTCAAAGTCAAAACTGAAAAAACTTGATGTTCAATAAAGAAACATCACAACAACAAACATATTTTCATTAATGAATATTTTTTGTGGGGATTGACTTGGCCCCATGAACTTGGTGAATCGCAATGTTTTACGTCTCCCAAGAACCTTGCCACCCCCATCCCCCATCTTCCCTCGGTGGAGCAGGGTGGGTGGAGCTGAGAGAAGTAAAAATATGAAGAAAAAAAAAATCAATAGATGTTGGGTTTACCTCTAATAAGTGTATAATTGTTGCTAAAGGGGAAATGCAGAACGTACTCTCCAAACCTTGAAAAGTAATAACCAATTACAAAGGCGTGATGAATAAAAAAAGACATGATTTTGAAGCTCAAGTACCTTGAAAACACAACCCTTCGGAATTTTTTTTCTTGTAAACAATCTGCTGCGAAACTGGTATGAGGGTTTTGAAGCAACTAGACATAATCAATCCATTTAGCTGGCACATGCTTGCACTAAGATAGGTTTAGGAAAGTTTTGGTGTAAGGGTAAGTTTATTTAATTGTGATGTGGGCGCCACGCTCTAGGATTTGAGTCTCGACTTTTTTCGACTATAGGAGTCCATGCTGTTACTTATCACTGCGAAGTGATTGAGTGATGAAGGAAACAAATTATAATAAATAAGTTGATGCCTACCATGAAGCCTTGGATTAAGACTTTGATAACTATCTTGTGGGACTTTATGCTATTAATTAGTAGGAATGTGAGCTGTTGTGCACAAAACCTTCGAGATTCATTGGATGGTTGTACCAATAAAGTTGAGATAGAAACCAAGGGAAGTTTAGTAAAGAACCTGATTCTTCCATAATAATTAATTGCTAACTTTTTAATAGAATCCCACTTTTATTGGTTTTCTTGATTGATAGAGGAGAAAATTAAACTATCACTTATATTCTTGAATAATGGTGTGCATGAAACATGTGAAGAACAATGGAATTTGTCTTTTGACGATTCTGACCAATTGTTTAGTGACAAAAACACCTCTCAGCTAATAGTCATATCTCTCTCTCTCTCTCCTTATTACTTACACCATTCCCACAATAAAATTCCATCGAACCGATGTGTGCACAGTGATTTTTGCACAATAAAAGAAATGGACAGAACTTCCTTTCGATGAACATAAGATTTACCTAAAAATCGATGATCTCGAGGCAAACGGAAGTGAGAAAGATCATAAGGAGTGATGATAAATTACTTTTTCAGCAATCCCCGAGATTTCAGCGTGTCAAAATGGATTCTTCCACTCAAAAAAGACAGTTAGAAGAGCGTTGGAGTGTTTTCTGGCATGACCCTTTAACGGTCAAGTCAGTACGTGAGAGTGGGGACGAAGAACACTCGTGAGAGAGTGGAGGAAGAACACTGTTCGATAACTTTTGGTGAGATTTGCGTACCTTTGTTTTCAGTTTATGAGAGTTATTTATATTTTTATGGAGGTAATCACTGCGGAGAAGTAAATCCCTTGAGGAAAAAGTCCCCCATTGGCCCATTTGGCTGGCGGCAAGCGATAGTGCTCAGTCCTTGAGCAGGGCGCCTTCTATTTTGCGTGGGAGAACTATAAGCATTAAATATTTGGGTTCTCATGCACTTAATGCTCTTCCTTTGAAAATCTCTTAACAATAAACACGTCACATTCTTCGAAGGGATCATTAAATACTTTCTTGTGATGGTTGTGCATGAGTAGGGGCATCTTTGTCCATTGGCCCTTAATTTTGTTCTATGTGCCTCGTGTTTTATTATCTTTGGTCATTGGATTTGTCCTTTTTGACTTCTTTGTAAAGGCAAGCCAATGATTATTGATTAATTCTAAATTCAAGTAACGATAGCCGTCATTCTGCCATTCCTATCTTAGGGTTCTTGAGCCGAGATGACGTGTCTGAAAATAGGTTTCAAAGGAGTTAGTCGTGACGAGGACACATGTCGCAATCTAAAAACCTCGAGGTGACGTATGTCGAGGACACGTGTCACTCGCAAATAGCATCGAGGGAATTTTAGTGTCAAAGACACGTGTCCATCACAGATGGGTCCGAGGAATCATTTGTGCCAAGGACACATGTCTCAATATTAGTGCTCCAAGGGGATGGACGCCAAGAGCGACTCCTTGTTAATCCTTTGAAGTGTCCCATCACGATGTCTAATCAACAAAGAAGGCAGGTTAATTTTCGTCTTGATGTCGCATTTATTCAACGAACAGAACAAAGAAAAAGAAACCTAAGTTCCATATATGGTGTTTACTGTTTTGGGGAAAAAAAGGAAAGGGATTGTTACAGCTTGTTTAACACCAAAAACAAAAAATATATAATCATGTGTACATACTGCACACAAACATACAAATCAAAGGTGAGCTCTTAACTTTCATCTTTTCACCCAAATTTAATTACGAAAAGAGGACAACAGAGCTCTTGATCTCCTACATGAAAAAATTCATAATTGAACAATCTATTAGCTTCTTCCATATACCAAGATAAAACATGTAGCAATCTCTTTGTCTCTCTTGCCATTGCAAAGCATTTGTTGCAAAAAGCCCTTTTTCTTGTAGAGACATTTTGAATATGGAACAGCACCACCATCTAGTACTGTAGATTCTTCTCTTTCAAGAACCTCCATGTGATATATTTGAATAAAGTACAAGGAAAAACAGATAAGAACCCAGTAGCCAATTTGGTTTTATTTACCCAAAAAAACAGACAAGAACCCAATAGCCAAACCCGGAAAATATAGAATTTTACAACCACAACCCCAATGAATTAATAATTTCCCCAATCAACCAAACATCTTTCTCCAACCAAATCCATCTTCTATCCTATTCCAACATTTATTTACTTAATAATCAAAAACTGTGTTCTGGAAGGACAACCAAGTATCTATAGATGTCCCCCACCTTAACTAGTACAAGGGGAAAAGCGAAGATAATTAAAAAGCATAACACAAATTAACAAGTCATACAGAGGAGATTAACATGAACTAACAAGCCATGTGGGATCAAGAATCTGAATGACAATCTGAAGTGTAGGAGCTTGGAGGAGGAGTTGATGAGGCTGATCTTCTAATGCCACCTTCTCTCTCTCTTCCCAGTCCTGCTGCAATTCTCACTTTTTCCCATAATCCACCAAATATCATAGCTTTGATCTGACCTCTCTGTGGAGGAAGTCTTGCTCTTCTTTTGTTTAGCATCTTCAAATCTTCATTTTCCATTGCTTTTGCTGCAAAAAACTGGGGTTTTAGAAGATTTGTGGTGAAGCAGAGCAGAGCAATATAGAGAGGATAATTCTAGTCTGTTTCTTGACAAAGTAAGGTGAAAGAGAGAGCTGTTGAAATTGACTGAAAAAAAAAGAACAAGAAGTGCAAGTAGCGGATGAGACCTCTGATACACAAACATATATAATGTTTGGAGAGGAAGAAATCTGCTACGTCAAGAGGGTTCACACAGTGGGACCAAGTCTTCAAATTCAAAGAGAATATAAGGAAAAAAAATTGATGTGGACTTGAAATTCAAACACCAATGGTGTAGCTGTAATTCAAACATCAAAGCATCCCCTAGCTGTGGCTGTTATCAAACACCAATGGTGCTCAAGGCATCTGTTGAACTTTATCAGTCTCCTTTTTAAGGTTCTTAATAATATCAAAAGCCAACACAATAAATTATTCACTTCACTTTGGTTGAATTGATTTTGATAATATGATATTACGAATCAACACCTTTTCCATTATATTTTTCTTCAATTCCACTCAATAATAGATCATCCACAATTAATTTATAAGTTGGTCCCCAACCATACCTACTTTTGACTGAACTTGAGGGTAAGTACATTGGATAGGATGTCACTCCTGATATTCCAACAATGCTGCAGTTTTTGATCAAGAAGTGAATCCAAAAGAAACTGTTTGTTGGCAAATATGGATCCTTTTGCCTTCACTAAAAGCAACAAAACTACACATACCACAGTGTCTCCTCTTTGTCTGTCTTTCCGGGTTTCTACTACTATGCAGAACTTCTACTATTTAATCATAGAATTGATTCCGATCAAGCTGAAAAAGCCCTATGTCATTAGTAAAACACTATTGATAATACAGCGATTTCCTGATTAAGAGGCTT